GTGAGGAGTTACCTGCAGAAGCATAGGTGATGAGTTACCTGCAGAAGCATAGGTGAGAAGTTACCTGCAGAAGCATAGGTGAGGAGTTACCTGCAAAAGCATAGGTAGCTCAAAGGCATGACAGGAAAGCCCACCCCAGCCCAGCATCAGTGATGACTCACAAAAGGTGAATCTCTGAAGTTCCCTGCTCAACTTCCAAGCAGCTCCTCTTCCCTAGCAACTGCTTACTGCTTATGCAACCTTGCAGACAGGCCTTTCTGAGCTTCCTGGGTTTTACAAGTTCTGTGAGCCTTATAAGTTTCATTACCTTCTTATGAGTATCCTCCTCTCTCAAGGAGGGACTGTTGGAATTTGGAGGAAATAACTATATGTCTCTTGAATATGAAAGTACAAACAAACTAAGATCTGTTAGTTTGGAGTGATAAATCCTGTATGAAAATGTCATGTAAACAATTTGATTTCCTAATCTTGCACTCCTGGGAGAAATTCATATTAGAACAATAATTTAGACCTATACATATATTGATGTCTTTTAAGCATGGTCTCAGTGTGAACACCAAATTCCAGCAAAGACGAAAAATAAAATGTAAGCTATGCAGAAGCATGTAGCCGGAACTTTCTCTGGTCCTGCCTTGCCTAGCAGTCTGGATTAATCTCTCCCATCCTCAGTCCCACAGTTGCTTATAAAATAATCACTCAGAGGCTTATATTAATTGCAAGCTGTATGGCCTATGGCTCAAGCTTCTTGCTAGGTAGCTCTTTCATCTTAAATTAACCCATTCCTATAAATCTATATGTTGCCATGTGGCCATGGCGTTACCTGTCTGCTGACATCTTGTTGCTCCTTCAGTGGCAGGCCTGAGTCTCTTGCCTATCTCTTTCCTGTATCTCTCCTTGGATTTCCTGCCTGCCTCTAAGCTGCCTTTCCATAGGCCAAAGCAGCCTATTTATTAATCAGTGGGAACAACATGTATTTATAGCATGCAGAAAGACATCCCACAACAGAAGCACATGCCTTGAAATACATAATTACTGTCACTGGCCAAAAGATGAAAGAACAGAAGCTATGTGGGGAGACTGCTAGGCAGAGTTACTTCAAAGGCCAGGCCAAGCACTGACTGACTCTGTGTTCTACTAGAAGCAGGTCAGTATCCAAGAATTCCTGATTGCAGTCAGATCTAGATTTCCATAAGGATTGTGATAAAGTTATAAAAGGTGTAATAATATTCAAGTTGCCAGATGACCCAAAACAGAAAAGAATAATCTTAATTGTGCTGACCGCAAATTATAACATTTTTAATTAAGCATTTTTTAACAATGAATAAAGCCAAAATTAATAGCAACAAGTAGGAAAGTAAAATTTAGAACTTACAAATCAAATTAAATATTTCAAATGTTAAAAAGAACACTAGTTCTTTAAGAATTCTTTTTATGGGAGGCAGAGGCAGGTGGATCTCTGTGAGTTTGAGGCTAGCTTGGTCTACAGAGCAAATTCCAGGGCAGGTTCCAAAGCTACACAGAGAAACCCGGGATCAAAAAAAAAATTCTTTTTAGACCTAGGAAGTTTACTGACTTCAGACTCTGTGAATCACAGAGTTATAGATGAGAATGTCCTAAATTTTTACCTATATAGGTTTTGTGGATTATTTAAACTACATGAAGTCTAACATATCAGGTCATGAATAGTAAGATTTAAGAGTGACACTGAACTTGAATATTTTTCAGCTAACTGTGGGAGTAGGGATTGAGGCAAAGGCCAACTGACAAGACAGAAATGTGATCAACAAATGCTTCTCCAAGGTAATTAGGAATGGACCTATCTAACAGGAATGTGTCTATAGTACACAGCACAGTTTCTGACAGAGAACACTGCTGAGTCCTCTCTCCCATAGTATTTAAGCAGTTAACATTTCTGTAGGGAGGAAGGCAACTTAGAGTTGATATAGTTGACTCTATGCAACAACTCACTTAGTGGTCCCCTAAGTAGCACAATTAAATTCTGGACAAGAGTGGACAAGTTGCTGCTGCTGCTGCTGCTGCTGCTGCTGCTGCTGCTGCTGCTGCTGCTGTTGTTGTTGTTGTTATTGTTGGGCTAGCCTCCCACTATATAACCCTTTTGGGCTAGAACTCAATATATAAACTAGGTTGGCCATAAACTCACAGAGATCCATGGGATTGTTGCTTTTGATCTGTAATTCTAGGACAAATAGAAATAGACTGCAGTGTTGTGTAGCAATTTCCTCCAAAATAAACCATGTCATCTTAAAGGGAAGATCATTAATACCTAGGATGTTCTAAATAGAGATGGTGCATTGCTGGAGTAACTGTTTAAGGCCCAGGATATCCTAAACAGAGATTTCTTAATACTCACAAAGTAAAAAAAACTGTAAAGCTTCAATAATTCCTTTAAATTGACAAGATATTCTAGTCCCCTCAAGTTCCTCAAGTTGATGTAGGTATTAAGGACTGCTAAACTGTGCAGCTTTGAAGAAACTCAGACAAGATGAATTGCCTAGACAGAGACCCACCAATCTGCTTGGAAGAACACTCTCCAACCTTTCTAGATGCCTGCAGGTTGTGCAGTGTGCTCCAGGTTTCCAGATTTCATGAGCTGTCACTCATGATGGGGTGGGTTTAGTAATGCAGCTGTCTCTGAGTCATTTCTGCTCCTGTAAGTAACTCACCCACATTCCTGTAAGTAACCCCAATAAAACTCATTGATTCACCATCTTTGACTTTGGTGGTATATGAACTGTGTTTTGTCATTAGTTCCCTTCTGGGGTTATTCATATCTCCCTAGAAACACCCAGAAAAATTCACACAATAGTAATTAATGCAAAAGAATGATAAGTTGTTATAAGGCAACATTACAGAGAGGTCCTTCATAATCCTTCAATTCCAATAATACTGACACCCTACACATTGACTTTACCAAATCTTTGTATGCTCCTCAAGCACTCAGATATATTTGGAATGAGGTTGTCAAAGGTAAGAATGAAGCCATTATTTACCCTGAATCTTACTGTAGATATATGTGTCCCCACAAAAATACAAATATCTACTATTTACTCAGCACCTACCATGTGGCACAGTGTAGTGACTTCTTCATTATTTCTCTCAAGAACTCTCTGGTTGTGGGCTGAATCATACTTCCTAGTTTCAAAAGCTGAAGATGTAATTCCTTAACCTCAGAAAATAATCACACTTAGACATAAGGCCTTTAAAGGGTTGATTAACCTAAAAAGAGGTCTATAATCCAGTGTGACTGCTTGTCTTAACAAGAAACAGAAGTTTGGAGTATACAGAAAGATACAGGGGAGGAGTGAGCAGGATAAGATTTGAGAACTCAATGGAAAGACAGCCACCTACAAAACTGGAAAAGAGGGAACAAAAGATACAAACATGCAGACCCCATGACCATGAGCTTCTAGCATCCAGAACTCTCAGAACAAGATTTTTTTCTTCTTTAAATCACAAAATCTGTCATATGTTGTTATGGTAACTATATAAAACTAATGTACTCTTTTTAATTGAAAATGGGTTTCTTTCTATTGCATTATTTCCTGATTATAGTTTCCCCTCTCTCTACTCTTCCCAATTCCTTCACATCTCCCCTCCTCTCCAGATCCACTCCCTCTCTGCATCTCATTAGAA